TATATATATATATATATATATATATGTATATATATATATATTTAGCACCATACTAAATTATCCATTTTCAATTATTAAAAATTCAAAAAATTTACTACATTAAATACAAATTTTAATTTTCTAATGTAAATATTTTATAACGTTTTTTTTTGTTTTTTTTTCAATTCAATAAAATAATTGTTGCTGTAAAAATTTGGCTACACAGTGCATCAAAATTTATCTAATTTAATAATAATCTATTATAAATACTGAGCAAATTAATATACACACCATACATCGGATAATTAATATATTTATATATAATTAATAATTAATTTTTAAAAAAAGCTTCAATGAGTGAAGACAAAGAGATCGGTACGCGTGAGAATAAATCTTTTATTTTATTTTATTAATTTTTTTTTTTTTTCAATATTTTCTTCGTTTCTCGTATAAAATGTAATAACGTATTTTTAGTTATTATTATTAATCATTAGCACAGCTAAAATCCAATTAAATAGGATGTATCAATGAGAAATATCATCTGACATTCGTTTAATAAATCTTATCACTATAATTCAATTTAATCACTAAATGAATAATTATAAAACAATATAATAAAGAAGCGTAGTTAAATTTATAAAAAATATTTGAATATTATGATAAATAAATAATAACAGATAGGAGAAAAAAAATGACTCCTTCCCCTTCCAGTACCAGCCTGCTCTAACACGTGCATAAGAATAATCGAGTGGTAGGAGAAGCCAGATCTTTATTTTTGTAAATATCACTAGATAATATAATTAAATATGTATTAATAAGTATGCAATACATAAAGAAAAATAAAAATATAATTTCGCGTAAAAATGCTCTCAGGCTGTGTAACAAATAGTATTTTTTTAATTTTTATTATCTATTAAATAATATGGACGTTTATTATCAAATACCATAATATAAAGCTTTAATAAATAAGTAAGAGCCTTTTGAAAACGATGAGATGCGTTAATTAAAAGCACAGCCAATATAAACGACATACACACATCATAAACACATAATGATATGCTTATTATATGTCGCGTGGAATATTTTTATTATTATTATTATTATTATTATTATTATTTTAATTTTAATTTTATAAATAATTATTAACCTAACTACCATTGATAAAGTATCACAATTACGTTTAATATTGCAACAGAATCTCAAAGATGGTACAATAAAACCAACGGATATTACTAAAAAGAAGAATAATAATGATAAAATAAATAATAATACTAATAATAATAATAATAATAATAATAATAATAATAATAATAATCAATTAGGAAAACGTCAAGTACAAAAAAATGATATTATATTACCGAAATTATTAAATAATTCGATTAATTCAAATAATAATAATAATAATAACAATAATTCTCGTAGACGTGTTAGCTTTGAGACAAATGTTATTGAACATAATTCAGAAGTTGTTAATAACAATAATTTACCAACAATAAATTCAATACCTCAAAGCCCAAATTCACGTCGTCGTATATTTAATTTTACGCCAATATCACCAGGTCCACAGTCACCAATAAATGGACGTGCTTCCAAACCAAATTCAGCAAATGCTAGTCCTTTTGTATCACCACGTAATACACCAGTACCACGATCAAGAAGCAATATAGCCAATGTATATAGATCATCACGTAATAATTTAAAACCATTTTCACGATCTAATTCCTGTAACGCAACTTACCTTTCAAAAAATAATAGTGACGCTATTGATACTACTTTTCGTGTTCCAACAAGTACCAATGAAACTAATAAATTTTTACCATCTACCTTGGTGGCTGGTGAATCAAGAACAGCTGATAAAATATTTGGATCAAATAAAGCAGCCCAAGTACAAGTTGACACTAGTAATATTGGATCAATAACATTGGGACCAGATGATAATAGTAAAACTTTATCATGTACGTCGTTATTGTCAGACGTTAATCCACAAAAACAATTATTGATTAATTATCCAAGTCAAGAAAATTTGTTGGAAATTAAAAATTTAAATAGCAAACCAACATCGGCTAATAAACCAACAACAACAACAACAACTGTAATAAGTAAACCAGCTGATCAGGAGATAAGTGAATTATTAAATAGTGTTAAACAGTATAATTATAGTAATAATGAAAATTATTGTCGTTCTCAATCTGTACCACTGCATCGTATGTTTAATCCAACATTAATGTCACCAATATCAAATCAATTTTATTCAAATACCAATAGTTTCAATCAATCAACAAGTAGTTCTCTTGTACATACACCAGTACCCAGTGAATTTGATGATTTTGTATCAATAACTGGACAATCAGATAGTTATTTATTAGATCAAGTTGACGCTAATTTTATAAATGATGATCAACAATTTTTAATTGAAGATAAAACAATATCATCCGAAAATATAAATAAAATATTTGATCTACTTGATGATGATGATGATGATAATAACGACAAAGGCTTGAACAATATTTTAAATCAACAAAACAATGATGAAGAAGATGATGACAGTGGTTTAATTGTACTGGATTCATTACCAAGTGATAGTATAAATTTACAAGATACAATGTTGGACCCATCGACTGTTGATTCATTTCAAAAAATAATTATCCAACAACAGCACCATCGGCATCACCAGCTGCAATCTAGATCCTATCCAAATACACCACTGCCTAATTCAATAACTCCAACGGCTTATCATCAATCGTTTACTGAAGACAGCAATGGACCACGGTCATACCCACCAACCCCTATATCTTCATCTCATATTGGCTCTCAAGATATCTATCACGAAACAAACGAACCAATGCTATCAAGCCCAACGTTAAATTCATTGAATTTGCACTCGACAGAACACGGTAATAATGACCCAACTGACAGTGTCTGTAGAAATGTTAGTGACTTGTTGGAAACAAATTTTCTTACTGACGGAGATCCTGATGATGGACTTGATCCACTGACTAATTTTGACGGATTACAGGATGTTGATTCATTGGCTCCTTTATTTAATGAAGTATCTGATACTAATCGTTGATTTAATTATTTTTATTTTATTATTATTATTATTATTGAAATATTTAACATTATTTTGTTTGGGTTTTTTTTTTTTTTTTTGTGCAGTTTATTTTAGGAGAATAATAATAAATAATTAAAACACTGCCAACAAAATAATGTTGATTATTGTTTCAATGTCGGCAGAAACAATTAGTCGGGTTGTCTTTTTTTTTAAATTAAAATCCAAGTTAAGTTGAATTGACAAAGTCAACGTGATAAATAATAATAATAATAATAATAGATATAAATAAATAAAATATTCACTAAGTATATAGAAATAACAAAAAAAAAAAAGTATTTGCAATTATCATGAGATTTTTGTTTTCGTGATTTTTTAACATAAAATTTTTTTTTAAAGATTAATTACTATAAAATAAAGACAAATCAACTTTTAAATAATTATCTTAATATTCTTCAATGTATAAAGAGTCCGTAGACGTAAGTACGGTGTAAATGTTTAGTTGTACAAATTATTTTATAGTATTTTATTATTATTTTTTTTTATACAACTTTTGTATTTTAACATTTTTAGTTGACAAAAATTTAATGATTTAAAATTTTTTTTTATTTAGATCGTTGTCTCTTTTTCTTTTTCTTCTTTATCGGACCAATATTTAGATAAATAAATATTAAAAAACTTTGCACTTTAGGTTTTTTTTTAACCAACAAAGTATTATAAATAAATTTTTTTTTTTTACTTGAGTAAAATGAATTGTTGAATTGATAAACTTATAAAATTAAGATTATACGCACAAAAATTGTTTTTACATTAGGTAATATCTATAATTAAAGGTATAAAAATATATATTATCGGGATTCGTTTTATAAACAAACAACAGAATACATACATATAATAAACAATATAGAGATTGAAGAATAAAAATTAAATATGTTGGTAGATAGAAAAAAAAATATATTATTGTTACTGAAGATCAAAGCGCTATAAAAATAATACTTTATTTAAAATTAACATCAGAAATCTCAAATAATTTGAATAAAAAATTTAAAATATTAATTATTATAATCAATTGACTTGTATTCATATTAATTGTACTTTTAACATTTGCATTATTATTTATTAGAATATAAAGCATTAAACTCACAGATTATCATGTTAAAAGTAGTAATTTATATCAGAATAAAATAAACACAGGCTTCAATAAATATTTGTGGTAGTTTGCAATCATTATTATTAAAAAAAAAAATTCTTTTTTTTTGTGTAATATTAATTAAAAAAATTGTTAGTGCTTACTTTATTATTAAATATCGATAATTGATTTATTAATTAATTGTAAGTAGAAAATGTACAGCATATATATATATATGTATGTATACATTTAAATACATATAATATAATAACTATATGTATGTATTTAAATGTATGTGTATAAATATATGTATATATACATATAAATATAATTTTGTATTATTTATAATTAATAATGTATGATGAAAAAATAAAATGTTATTCATTGTATGGCCTATAATTGTTTTTTTTTTTTTTTTTTTTTTTTTATTTATTTATTATCAATAATCCATAGAGTTAAAGATAATTAAAAGTATTTTACAAAGTTTTCTTTAATTGTTACAGTAATATATATAAGTTTAATTAAAACAAAATTATTATTATTATTATTATTATTATTATATAAAGTCACAACTGAAAATATTTTATACTTAATTTTTAATTTGTCTACACATAATATTGAAAATTAAATATAGTTGGTAAAATGAAATTTCAATAAACACTTCAGTCTTTATTAATAACAATAAACAATCTCACATAACATTGGTCGGTACGTCTATTATTGGTGCTCTTTTTTCACCAATAGAATCAACTTTTTTTTCATTTAAAAGATCTTTTACTTCCTCGGCGTCGAGTGTTTCGTATTTTAATAGTGCTTCGGCAAGAAGTTTGTGTTCTTTAGCGTGAGTTTTTAGAATTGATTTGGCTCTATCGTAAGATTCCTGAAAGGAAATAAATGAATTAAATATTAGTAAAAACAATATTAACATTTTAAAATATTTATATACCTGTAATAAACGTTTAACTTCGCTGTCAATAATTTCAGCAGTGTTGGGACTCAACTCGGTCCCATTTTTATTTTGTTTATCCTGTGTCTCAACTCTGAACCCAGCTTTCTCTGACATTCCATAATTTTTAACCATAGCTTCAGCAATCTGAGTAGCTTTTTGAAGATCACTGGCTGCTCCAACAGTAATTTTTTCCATTCCAAAAATTAATTCTTCAGCAGCACGGCCACCAAGCGATGTGTCCATAGCAGCCAACAGGTGTTGTTTAGTTTGATGGTAAATATCTTTTTTGGGTAACGAACTAGTGTGCCCAAGACTTCCAGCTCTTGGAATAATAGTTACTTTGGCCAACGGCATAGCTTCTTTAGAGTAAAAACTTACTAACGCATGACCAGCTTCGTGGTAAGCTGTGATGCGATTTTCTTCCAAGTCTGGCATACGTCCCTTTAATTCTGGACCCATGATAACTTTTTCTCTTGCCTTCTCCAAGTGATCCATCGTAACATAATCAGCTCCATCGATAGCAGCTTTCAACGCAGCTTGGTTAACCATACTTTCGATGTCAGCTCCAGTAAATCCGGTTGTTGCTCGCGCCAATGCATCGACATCCAGTGATTTAGCTAAGATTTTAGATAAATACAGTTCAATTATTTCCTTTCTGTCCTTTAAGTCTGGTTTATGAACGTAAATCTCAACATCGAAACGTCCTGGACGTCTAAGCGCTTTATCTAAATCATCACGCCTGTTGGTAGCTCCCAATACAATGACACCTTCGTTTTGTTGGAATCCATCCATCTCAGACAATAACTGATTGATTGTTTGATTCGCGTAAGGATGAATCAACGATGTTGTCCGCTTTCCACCAACAGAATCGATTTCATCGATAAATATAACACATGGAGCGCGTTCTTTGGCCGCTCTAAATAAATCTCGGACGCGTTTAGCTCCTTGACCAACCAATACTTCATCAAACTCCGGACCAGCGGCATGGAAGAATGGTACGTGTGCTTCTCCGGCGACAGCTCGTGCTAATAATGTTTTACCAGTACCCGGTGGCCCTACTAATAAAACTCCTTTGGGTAAACGTCCACCCAGCGCTGAAAACTTTTCTGGATTCTTTAAAAATTCAACGACGTCTTTTAATTCTTGTTTAGCTTCAGTTACACCCTTTACATCATCGAATGTAACGTTTATTTCTTCTGGATCGATTGCTGTGTAAGAGCCCAGTGGAATTCTAAACATACCTCCGTTGCCGACTATAAAAATAAAAAATTAATCACCATTATCTATTGATATTTAAGAATATCTATCAATGTCAACCAACAAACTTATCATGTGATATCTATATATTATTGTTAATATAAATAAGAATGTTTAAGTATAGGATACTAACGTTTTTTATACACACCTAATAAAATAGTGCATACTATGATAAACATTATTGGCGACAATATCTGCTGAAGAATTTTAATCCACTTGAACGATCGTACTGGTGGTTTTCTTTCATTCCCGGCGAGATATCCCTCAGCAAATGCTATTTTTATACTCTGTTTATCTGCATTTGATAATTCTGAATTGGTAAGAAGATTTTTTAATTGTTCCATGTCCATTCGGTTGACTGCTAATTTTAGCTTTTCTTCCTGAAAAATTACTCATAATAAATTAAAAAACAATATATATATATATATATATATATTATTTATTATTTATTATGATTAAAAAAAAAAACGTACGCCTATTTTCGAAAGCCCAAACCATGTTTTCAGTCTTCCGGCCAGCGATGGATTTCTTTCTCTTTCAGCAGTAATATTGCGACTTGTTTTAAATCCACGAGTTGAAATATATTGTCCGGGTATTGTTGCTGGTACATGATACAGTAATGTCGTGTCTTTTTTGTAACAACAATTAAAATTAGTATCGACGCCTGATACTACTAGCAATGAATAAGAAATAATACCTCGTTTATTATCAGCGAAATTAGAACCTGATGTATATGAAACTTTCCAATGATTTTTGTCGTCAATTGACAATTGTTTATCAATTATATACAAGGTATTATTTAATTTATCTACTATTTTTTTAATTTCTCTTTTCTTCTGTAATCTTTGTGAAGGTTGGAGTCGGAGTAGTTTATTGAGATCCATATTCTCCCAAAGTAATTCATTGAGATTTTTTGTTGCCTAATTTTAAGTAACAATTAATAATTATTGGCTAAGTCAGTTTTAATTAATTATTGTTATTATTATTATTATTTACCTCATTGAAACTCTCTTGACAAAGTTTATCACAATTGCTATTTGGATTTATTTCTTTTTTATTTATACGAGAGTAACTTGACGTTTTTGGCCTGCATGCTGACAGTAATTGAGTCAAGTGATACAACACCTGAAAAATATAATTAATTGTTAAACAAATAAAACAACAAGGTTATATTTCAATTTTAACTATCATATACTATAAAATATAGTCAATGATTAATGAATGTTTAAATAATAATAATAATAATAATAATAATGTTATATAAATTATTATAAATAAACATGCTGACAAAATAATTAAATATTGCGTGTTAATAGTAATAAGGTAGGAAAAAAAAAAAAACATATTATAAAATAAAAATAGATAGATACAATTTAAAAGATCTTGCATCACCTGATTATGAGATTGCGAAGAAATCATTTGCAAATATATTTTATTAATTTTTAATAAAACTTTATATTTTATTTATCACAATTGTAGTAGGTAACACTAATTACTTTATAAACTACTATTTATCTTTATGTTTTATTATTTAAAATTAAATTATCACAACGAAATTGTCGGATAAAATGTCACACAAAAACACTCAAGTAACCCACAGCAAAGTAAAAATCTGAAATAATCACGTACACACAACTCAACCAGATGACTCTGAAGTGAGTCGACGACATCCACCATTTTTACTTTTTACACAAATCTACAGTATCAACACTGACTAAAGTAGAATCATTAATTGTAAGAAATTCCGTTAGATGGCCACTGTTGTTTCTTGCTAGTAATTTTTTTTCCCCCAAGTTTTTTCTCTGGGGAATTTCTTACTGCTATAAATACACAATAATAAAGTTTTAATTGACAGTATCCACTTATTAGCACATAGGTAAAAAATTACATTGAACTGTTTAATTGAAACGGTCGAATAAATATGATTTACTTTTAAAAATCTAGTAGCATGTAAATAGACAATTTATTAGTTTCTTTATTTTGATAGAATTTTAGATTTCAATCTGGAAGTTTCAATAATATTCGCGGTTAATCTAATAATAATCTATTAATTTATGATGAATGTCAAGAATATCTCATTTTAACCTAACAACGTAATTTGTTTTTAAAAATTCATCTGGATATAAAATTTGAACGGTATTTCTTCACAAGGAGTGCAGCACCACCACCACCACCACCACTACTATATAGTTATAAATACTGCAACCAATAAATGAGTATATAGAGTGTCAAAACACTAAAGCAATGAGCCGATTATTTTTGTGTATCACACAATGTTGCATTGATATTATTTGTTAATCGTAATAACAATAACAACAACAACTATTATCTACGTATATTACATCAACAATTTTTATTATCGTCATTAACTAAATCTACACTTGTATAGATATATTTATAATGTAAGTAAATAATATAATTACAAAACAATAATGTTAATTATTGATCATATTTATTTTTTTTATATTTAATGTAACGTCATGTTGAAGATTTATTTAATTATTATCAATTGTTAGTAATCTAAACAATAAATAAATAAATAAATAATTGAGTAATTTATTATATTTATTAAATTATAAAGGATAACTGTTAAAATTTTCAATTGGATATATTAACAGTATGATTTAATTAAATTTATAGCTTGTTTTTATTACATAATTACTTTTTCGACACTTTCTATTCACAGTGTAATTTTTTTTTTTTTACTTCAATGTAATTACTATAAATCCATATGTTTATAATTTACTGATGGTTTGTCATAGAATAAATCTAGATCGTCATGCTTGACAAGTTTTTTGCTAGAAATGTCTAGGTTAAGTTTTTTCTTCTTTTTATTAAACGTTAGATCAACGATTTTTTTTTTTTTTTTTTTTTTTTTTTTTTAACAATTACCTGATTAAACAGTAATTTTTTTAAGTAAATAATAGTTTGTAACTATTTAATAATCAAGACTGTCAATTGTAGTTACTGAAGGGTAAAAGTAAAAGCGTAAAATTGATAAAAAAAATATTAGTTAATTAAAGAATATATAAATGTTAATATATTATGAGTCATTGATAAGAATTTAATAATTCATGATAATTTCAATATCTTTGCAATTCAATTATAAAAATTTGATTATTTTATCAATAATTTTATTTAGACAGTTGTTTTTTTTTTTTTTTTTCAAGGTGTTTAACAACATTAATAATAACATTTATCTGTTTCAGGTATAATATTGATAATATTGTAAAAATAACAATAAAACAACATTGATTAGCAGCGATGCTGAATGTAAACTCTAAAATTACATTCTGTCGATCTAATTATTGTTTCAATTGTAACAAAGTATTTTGTTAATCATCACGCACATTATATTGTAACATTGTATTACAATTTATTTGAAGACTATTGAACAAGATATATTAACATAATTTAAAAATGTCATCGGCTGATGTGTCAAACGCTCCACCATTGAATAACAATAACAACAATGTTGCAAATAACAATATAAATAATAATAATAATAATAATAATAACAACAACAATATTACAAATAATAATATAAATATAAACAATAATAGTCAAAATGGAGGAGTTACAGATAATCATAGTTTAGCTGGAGCAATAGCGCCTGGTTTAATAAATCGAGCTAGAAATAATAACAATCAAAATGCATTGTATCACATGAGAGATAGACTTTTTCATGCTTTATTTATTAAAGCTGCTTTAGCTTATGCTCGAACATTTCCTAAACCTGTAAGAAGATTAATTGAATTTATAGTTTTGTTAAAGGTAATTTAATATATATATTTATTAAAAGTATTAAATCTCTTTATAGTTTATGATTAAAATATGACGCAGCACAATTGTAATAACAGAGACATCAGGTTTTGCGTTGTGTATTTTTTGTTTTCTTCATATACACGTTTCTTATGTTTATAATATCATCATTTTTTTTATTATATATTTTTCTTTCAGGCAATAATGGCATTTTTTGTAATGGCTTATATTCACATAGTATTTTCACGAGCACCTACCAATTGTTTAGAGCATATAAGAGATGAGTGGCCACGTGATGGCATTTTAAGAGTTGAAATCTTAAGAAATGGAGCTGAGGATTACAGTATAGAAAAAAGTTATGCTAAGGAAGAAAAATTGCGCCAAGAAAAGGTTGATGATTTAACTAGCGTTCTTGGGATACTGCAAAGAGATGGGTAAAATTATTTATTATATATTTTTTTCTAACATAGAAATTATTATTGATTTATTTATTTATTTATCTTTAGATTTATAAATATTGAACCGTCGGCTGTGGATGAGGAACGAGTTGTAGTAGAAAGTAATAATAATGAAAAATCTAGTATTAAAGTAGGCGATCAAGTAGTTGAAGCAGCTACAATATCCGAAACATTTAGTAAAAATTTAAATATTACCAATGCAAGTACGAGTCCTTCATTATCGACAAATATCTGGAATAATGGTTTCGTTACCGAATCGATAGACGTAAGAATATAAATTTATTTCTTTAAATTATTATAAAAACTTTTATGTTTGTAAAAAAGTAAATTTATTACAGGATCAAGATATTTTAACGACATCAATAAAGTCAGAAAATTTAACAAATCAAACTGTTGATTCTGATTTAGATGTTGGAAATAATATAATTCAACCTTTGAAAGATCATGTACCCAAAGTGGAAAAATTAGTAAGAGCAGGTGTAGTAAAAATTTAAATAATTTTAATAATAAAACTTCTCTGTCATTTATTAAATTTATTTTAAATATCAAGTACAAACATAAATGATAGATGGCTATATATCTATATAGTTATTTATTAAATGAAACTTGACATAATTATATCACTGACAATGAAAATGAGACACAATGTAATTAGGAGATAAATTACAAAAGGGAAACAAAATAAATGGCTGTAGATAAGCTACGAGTATTGTTTAAATTAAGTTAGTAACTTTCTTTGAATATGAATTAGTATTTCCAGAAGACGAATATATAGTTGAGTATTCATTGGAGTATGGCTTTCTGCGATTGTCTCCAGCGGTACGTCAAAGACTTAACATCCCAGTTAAAATAGTTACATTGGATCCACAAAATGATAAATGTTTTGGAGATGCATTTTCGAGACTTATTCTTGATGAATTACTTGGTTATGATGATCTTCTTATGGCAAGCATTAAAACTTTAGCTGAGCACGAAGACAACAAAGGATTTTTACGGTTTGTATTTTAATTACATTTAAAATAACAATCTCCTTTATTTATTATAATAATAATAATAATAATAATTATTATTATTATTTTTATTTACAGTAATGTTGTAACGGGTGAACACTATCGTTTTGTAAGCATGTGGATGGCTCGGAGCTCATATTTAGCTGCATTTTTCATAATGTTGGTATTTGTAAGTATTTTTTTTTTTTTTTTTTTTTTTTTTTTTTTTTTTTTTTTTTTTTTAATAAAATTGTACTCATAGTAGTACGTATTGAATAAAAATATGGTTGAAATAAAAAGTGAGGTAGGATTAAAAATTATTAGACATGACTATGGACAATTGATACGCAGGGGTTTTAATCAAACGGTTTTATTTATTTATTTTATTTATTTTTTTTTTTTTTTGCCATGAATCCACGCAGAAATGTCGGGAAGCGTAAGAGGATATGGCAATCAATTCAAACTAACCGTCTACCTCCTGGGCAACGGGAGGTTGGTCACGGGTAGTGGTGGGTGATAGAGAGAAGGGAGGTAAAATCCCAGCTTGCTGGCGCTCTTTTGACCCCATACTTGCAACCCTCTGGTGAGAGTTGAACCGCTCGTGTATAAATCAAAGTTATTAGGGGGCATCATATTCGTCGTCGCGAGCCCCAAGCTGGTCATTTCGTATCAAATTATCGTGAAATATGCGTGAGCCTGACGCCAACGAGGCCTCGAGATACAAAAATATAAAAAATAACTAAAATAACAAACTTGACATTTTTTTTTTTATTCATTCTTTAGATATTTATTCTATACCTAATAATATATCTGACAAAAAATCTATAAATAAATTTTATAATACTAAAGTAGTCTGAGCATGAGTTGTTGTATCATAATGATGAATGTCACCACAATCCCTATCGGGATAAATACTTAGCTGTTAGTTTGTGTCGCGTGTCAATCCACGTGAGTTTCAAACTCTCTGTACAGGTACACGATTTGGTAGTTGGTTTATTTTTACTGGTCACGTGGCTCTGACTGTCGTCAATCCTCCAGCCTTTTCGTCTTCCACCCTTTATACCTCGTATTACGTTTGTTACAGCTTTTACTTTTTTAAACATTTTTTACTATTTTGTTTTTTGTTTTTCACCGTACTCTCTGCAATTTTATTTATTTATTACTTTTTTTTTGGTTTTATCATGTACATCCGATACCACTATAACATTTTACAATAAAATGTTGATTGTTGTACTTGTTTTTTGGTTCTTTTTACTCAAGCGTTCGGTATTGTTTTATAAAACTCGATGATATCAATTTGCCAAAGGTTGAGAAGTATTTTACGATGACCAAGGACTAGATTTCTATTTCATTTTAAATTTATTATTGTTATCTAGCTTTATCAACTGAAAAATAAATAAATAATTTGATGAGTATTATTAGGAATTAAATTGACAGTGTATGAATGAAATTATAGTTTAAATTAAAAGTTATTAATAGTCAGTTAAATGGATGAATAGTTTTTATGTAGTTGGAGAAACTGGATGTGAGCTGCTGAGAATAACAGATTATCCAACATAGGGCGACAGGTGCCTGTTCAATTCGCGCTGCTCGCAATTCAATTGTATTATTCGTTTCACCCGGAAACCGATAGTACCGGTGAGAGCAGCTTGCAATTTGTCACTAGCAATACCGGGGTGAAGTTAACGAAATGAAATTGTTCTTCATTTGAAAATCTCTCCTTCAAATTGCTGAAGGGATCTTAGTATTCATTATTTAAATACAACCTGTATCTAATCACAGTATACCTTTAAATAATTTTTTTTTTTTTTTTTTTTTTTTTAATAATTATATCTAATTATTTGTTTCAGACTGTTTCTATTTCTATGCTGTTGCGATACTCACACCACCAAATATTTGTCTTTATTGGTAAGTTTACAAAATATTTTATAAATTAAAATTAAATCGAATTACACTGAGGAAGTTTTCACATTTACCAAGTTAAATTAAGAAGTAGCTGAGTAGTGTGTCATATGTTTATTTATGAGGGTTGTTTTTGAAAGAATATTTATACTTTTGCATTGGCCTAAAGCAAATAATGAAACGCGCCAGTAGGAGAAGAGAAAAAAAAAAAAAAAAAAACAAAAATAAGGGGGAAAAAAAAAAGAAATTGTGGTGTAGGAAAATGGACAGTAAAGGTAAAATGGTTGTCTCAGTTAATTTTGTTAGCGTCTATTTCTCCCCAGTAAACATGGGCTGGCCAGTGACATCCGAGCTTGTGTCTCGTTGATGCACTATTATATTAAAAAAAAATATCTATGTATATATATATAAAGATTCTTCGGGTTTTGTCTTCCATCCAGGGAATTATGAAAAATTGGTTTTTAAAACGTAGCAGTGACTCTTGGGTCGTTATATATTCTCTCAGAGTAAGCAAAGGTAAGTAAATACTTTTTCTACTTCTTGTCCTCGGCTGGTCATTAATCTTCACACCAATTTTCATTTTTTCTTTCATTAAATTAATTTAAGGATCATTTTATTTATATTTTTTAATTATTTAAGCCTTATAAAATCGAAATATAAAATTATAAAATATCAACCCGAGGAAGAAGAAAAAGTTATAATAACTAGCGCGTCTTTTAAAGTTACTGGACACTAAGTTAAAATCTAAAATTCATTAAAACGCGACACATAGATGAGGTGAAAAAAAAAAAAAATTATAGTGAGGGTACTTTTTTTTGCATAAAAAAACCAGGTGTACTGGGATTGGAGGGCCAACTAGAAAACTCCTACGACTTGGGGTGTATATTAAATGTGTACAAGGAAATATCTACGTAAAAGTTGTCTCGGTAATAGCTTGAGAAATTTGAATCAAGATCGAGGGCCGTCACCAACTTTTATTAGCATCTTCTTTTCGTATTTCGTTACAAGTTACAACACTTTCAGACTTTTAAATAACTACATTTTTTTTTTTTTTAATAATAATAATAATAATAATAATAATAACTTGTGATTATATGCTCTAATAATCATTGAATTTAATTATTTGTTACAGTTGATCTATTCCAGATGCTTGAATTCAATGTGACGGCATCTTTTCCAGCAGCATCCCTGTTGGTTGTAATTTTGGCTCTTGTTGGTAAGCCTATATTCTAAAAATAATTATTATAATAAGTAGTTTAATAAGTCGTCGAACTTTTAAGTACTTTTAATCGATCAATGAATAAAATTGTAGGATTATAATTTATCTGATAAGACAAGGCCAATTTTAATGATTAAATTTAAATGATAACAGTGATATTGATTATGAGTTAAAAAAACAAATTAGATAAGAGTCAATTTAAAGAAAAAGAAAAGGGTCTGTCTGTAGGTACTTAAATTTTCGGCATCCATCATCATATCTCGTTAATTACTATAATCCTCTGTTCTCTATTGAATTGAATAGAGTTTATGAGATATAATTCGTTGCACTCGAACGTGTTTGTGTGGAGTTTAATCGCATTAACAAAGTACAGTATGAGGAATAGTTAATGAAAGTATTTAACAGCAAATGTGTTTAAATTTAATCAAAAAATTAAACCAACCGAATAATTTATATAATCTGTATTTATAATATTGATAGTATAAAATAATTATTTAAAAATGAATTATTGTGGGTACCTGATGCTTAAAGAGTAGAGATAATTAAAGAATGCAGTGGTGTCACCCTTTAAGCTTACAGTAGTGTTTTGTTTTTCAACAGTGAGAGAAATACAGAGCCAGTGAAAATTCAACGCCCCTGTTTAGCGCGTTACGCGTTTCGACATAACCACCCAACTGTAAAATATTAAAGAGCTTTTTACTAAATCAGCGGCGCCAGCATGACTTTGGCTCTGTTACAAAGCTCATTGGTCAGGACGGTTAACCCGGGGATTTTGCATAAATTTCTGATGAAACGCGCAACAGTTGGGTTGTCGTACTGATCCATTTTCCATTTTCCATTTTCCATTTTCCATTTTCCATTTTCATTTTCATTTACCAAATCTCTGTACTGTTGCCTATTTTCATTTCACTTTGAATTTTATTTTAAAACTTTTCCCCTCGCACCATTCATTAGCTTTTCATCCCTCCCTCTCTCTCTCTTTTTTTTTTTTTTTTTTTTTTTTTTTTTTTTTTTTTACAACTTTGTCGTCTATAATAAAAGCACCAACCAAAAGCTGACGCTAACTATCACACGTCATACACCATAAAGAGCTTTGAATCTTCTTTTCTATGACACTTGTAGCAAAGAGGTAGTCGTTAGTGGCAAATAATGATAACAATAATAACAACAACCGTGAAAAAGGCTTTTTTATTTGAATTTACCATGATATTTTAAAAAGAGTCTTCACGTTGGGTTCATTATCGAAGAAATCGTTTAGCAGAATAAGAAAATCCAAACCCGTGGAAATTCAGAACTGTAAACGATCCCTGGGTCCGGCGACCCGGTTAAAAAATCAATCTTCTAAGTGCTCTTACATTGGTTTAAGTGAATTTCACCAGTTCACTAGGGATCGAATCGGGTTACGTGTAGTGATGCTGCTACTACTACTACTACTACTACTACTACTACTACTACTATACCCACCTTAAATGTAAGTCTGCACCCCATCCGTTTAGAGGAAACAAGCCTCAACTATCGGTTGAATTTCCACAGCTACTGCTTACACTTTATCGTAGATATTACTCGGAAATCGAAATAGCTAATTCAACCTTATATATATTTATACAATTTTATCATTTGTTGATATTAATTATTTTATTAGATATTTATATTAATATCTACTATAATATCCATTTGTTATTATGTAACATCTTTATTTTGAACAACGCGATTTGAGGATATTACTGAGACTTAGTACTCATTAATATAGAATTACAATATATTACCAATGAGGATAATAATTTTATAACAAATAGCATTGTTATCGTTAATTTATTGAGTGAGCTTGAGACTAAAATATGTTTTATTTTATTTTAAAATAATATGGCCACTAGTTGCTTTCGGATGTGACCAACATGTCAACAAAAGTGGTAAATTTCCTGGTGGAATCAGGAGTTGTCATGTAGCCAAGTAGGGTTGGTCGGTTTATACCAACGGCAAAGCGGGTTACGTAGGATATAGTAAGAGACTCTCGGTAGGGTGAGGTAGGGTGAGGTAGGGTGAGGTAGGGTGAGGTAGGGTGAGTTAGGGTGAGGTACCTTGAGGAAGTTGTTATCTGAAGTAATGGGTTCCGGTTCCTGTGTCGCTTCCTGCTCTTCATCCGTCATCTCATTCTCCTAATACTACATATATCTTACGAATCTTAGTTTTCGACTGTCGCTTTCTCAAGGCTTATCTTCTTATCTTATCTTTTATCGTGATGACAACCGACTTTTCTCTATAAAAATAAATTCATAATAATATTAATTTTTTATTATTTATTATATTATACACAGGTAATCCATAGAGTAGTTGTAAAAAAAATAATAAGAATATATATTGGGTGATCGAAAATAAGATTATCGAGTCTAGGATTTTTATGTAAAAACGGTTGAGTGGACGAGCTTGAAGAGCGTGAAAGAAAGTTGGGTGTAGTAGGGTAAAGGGTATTGGCTTAAGTTAGTGAGAAAATACCCGACTAGTATGCATTTAAACGGGTGCATTAGCTTTCTTGTTATCTAGGCGTTACGAGAGCATTTTGGTAAGGAGAGACGCCATCCATGTGATTCATACGTCTGCAAATGCCCACTATCATATTTATTTTTTATCAATAAAAATTTTTTCTTTTTAATATTTTATTTTCAATAATTGCTTCTGTTAGATTCAGAAAAATGTCAGAGTGAATGTAGATGGCGTTTAATCAAGAAACTAATTATCTTTCGGCACACCCTCAAGTGTTTGCTCATTCATTTTTCCGTCAAGAAGTACCTATATATTTATTCTTTTTTACAACTTTCGCTCTTCAAAGTATCTTATTTGTAGTTGATCCAACTTTAACATGCAATAACAAATTAATGATTTAAAAAAAAAAAAAAAAAAAAAAAAAAAAAAAAAAACCCGCTAAATGAACTAGCAAAGAAGTGGCTCGTTAAAATAATTAGCAAATTCATTAATCGCAATTAAAAACGCGTTTCAAGAGTAATACACACTGTTTCGTGACTACTGTAGGTGTCATAGCGTGTTCAAATGCTTTAATGTCCTTTTTGTACTTTTATCTTTGCTAAAAGTTATACAATTTAGTGAATTCATTAAAATTCATTAGCAAAAACACGACACTGTTTCTCACAATTTTGATATTTTAATTATCAATTAGTTGTAAATCGCTAGTTATACTAGTCATCATTGTTTGCACGAGCATTAACTTGAAAAATAAAGAGAATTTTTTAAATTTTCTAAAAATATTTGTATGGTCGATAACAATGGTATCTACTGATTGTGAGCAGAGTATACGCGTAAAATAATGGTGCATGTTGATGTTAAATTTACAGAGGATAAATCCATGGTGTGGTGCATCGATTTAATTGCTTGGGAGAGTTATTCGATTAATATAGGCAGGGTTTCAGGTCACACAAGCTTAAAAACATCGATAATACCCGGGTTAATGTTTCGGAATGTTGTTGTGCTACTCTTAATTTTATTATTTTACTGTTAATTAAATACTATTAAAAGTTTATTACTGCGATAAATTACAAAGAATTTTCTTTTAATATTGACAAATACAATAGTTTGATTTCTGTAAAATCTAAAAATTAAAAAAAAAAAAAAAGGAATGAATCTGGTGTGAGATAGAATGACAAAGCTACTCGTATAAATTTCCGATTAGTATTGAGGTTGCGAAGGGAGCTGGGATTCTCTGGGAATTCAACGTACGACTTCGGGTTGCTTTTGCTCAAACTGCAGGGGAAATTTCCATCAAATGAACTTAACAGCGTTGAACCATTAGTCACTTCTATCTCATCCCATTTCATTCCATCTTCCATCTCGCATCTCTCATCGTTCTCTCTGCGTTCCCGAAGGAGAAGAGGAAAGTGGATCTTTATCGGCGTCTTGCCAGCTGAAACTCTCTTTTTTTTTTTTTAAATTTTCTTACTTGCTCTGGCCATAGTGTGACACCATATTGAAACAACTTTTTACTTGGACTTGGACTTTATTAAACATTTAAATTTAATTGCCTCTAAGTAGACAAACTTTTGAGCTTAATTGTCCAATTTAACAATTGATTAATCATTTTATTTTATTGATTAATGTTACAGGAATGGAGACAATAATGTCGGAATTTTTCAATGATACAACCACTGCATTTTACATTATCCTGATTGTTTGGATCGCCGATCAGTATGACGTTATCTGCTGTCATACGCCAATCACCAAGAGACACTGGTTACGGTGAGTTGTATATATATTTTAATAACTTTATTTTTAAGCCTGGCAACTTTTAGCAACAGCATGATATTAAAGTTAAACAATTGAAAGAGGGGAAAAAAAAAGATTTTTTTTGAATGTACTGTGGACAAAGTCCAAAGCGCCAAGAGAATAAAAAGGATTTTTTATTAATTAAAAAGTATTAAGGAACAGGTAAGTAGCAAACAAAGTAGCCTCAAGCGGCTACACCAACCGTTGGTTTTCTTTATTCCTAGTCAACAGACTAAACATGAATTGATCTACGTGTCTATTCAAAATAGAAAAGGAAAAAATGAATGAAATAAGTTTAAAAAATATATAAAAAATATATATGATTCCTTTTGAAAAGCATCAAAGAAACGATACAAGTATCCCTGAAAAATATTATAAAGATATCAAATTCCTACATCGCATGGCACAGGACTTTAACTCTTAGTTTTATTATAACTTTTTTTTTTTTTTTTTTTTTTTTTTCAATGTATAAATCCGTATATTTATTTCAAGAATTTATTTTTACATTGTTACCGTCCGCTACAAAGAGCCAACCAACACACAAAGTTTAAAATACCATTCTTGATAAAAAAAAATATTAAAATATATTATTTTATTAGATAACTTTGATAGTGCGGAATCAGTAAACAGTAAAGTGGATTTAGTAATCCTCGAAATGAGGAACAAAGCACTAAGGAACTGTAGAGCGGTATAAGCTTCTGGTTAAGTAATAATTAACCTAATTTTCCTCAGTATATACTACAGGATAGTAGTACTTCTAACAACATCAAGTAACATGCCGTTCAATTACCAAAATCCCCCCCCCCCCCCCGCCCAACTATTATATTACTCGGAATCCTAAAATTATCTTTCCAACTCTGTTTGAATATCTCTGACGGATTCTCATCAAACACCAAAACTATATAAACCGCTTACTCTCTGTCTCATCAATTCCATTTCATCAAAGATAATAATAACTTTTTATTAAACATGTTAATTTTTTTAAACGTAAACGACCCGTAAAATGACAGATTAATTTTTTCGCGATAATCAGTTTGATGATAATCAGTTTATGTAAAATAATTTTCAAAGGAAGTTGGTTATATTTGTTAAGTATAAAAGTATCATCATTAGAAGCGGCAAGGGCTTGGTTGATAGAATAAGAGGGATGAATGTTAGTGGGTACTAACCGACGATAGGGTTCATCGATAAAGGTGGTAAGAGGAGAGAGAAAGCGAGCGAGGTGGGAGGAAAGGGGTGGTAAGAGTTAGTAGGAGAGCCAGGGGGTGACTTGGCACGTATGATGGATGTAGGGGCGTGGACCGTCTCGCATTACCAACTCCACAAGTGAATTGTTATCGGATCAACGCGAGTACCTCTATCTAGCCGGCAGTTATCGGACGGAGCACGCACATGTTTGACAGAATTCACTTATGGGTAAACACAATTGACCGGAACTACTCACAGTTTATCCGAGGTTCCACACTTTTGCTATTAAATTTTATTTAAAAAAAAAAAAACCAAAAAAATAAAATATAAATTTGATTAAAATAGTAGGGTAATTTTTATAGACGTCATCTCGATGATGGGGTTGTTAATCATCAACAGGGTTTATATACAGCAATCAGCTGGGCTTGTCTGCAAATAATCCAGCTCCTCTTATCCTTCTATGATTATGATTGAATAAAGTTCATAATTTAACTTGTTAAGCAATTATATAAATAACAGGCATACAATTTCTGTCAAAGAATATTATTTTTTTATTCAACTCTAGTTTTTTGTACGATGACAACAATTTCCAATCTGTTATTTCACTGAATTGATCTTTTAATTTTCAAAGAAATATTTTTATTTCAGTCTTTTTTAATAACTGGAACTGAGCAGGGTTCGATTCCTGGCTTGGTCTTTGTAATTTTTTTGAAATAATGATGATAAATTAAAAAAAAAAAAAAGCGGTTGAAAGTAAAACAGAGATTTTTTATTGAAAGAATGTAAGTTATTTAAAATAAGTAGGGGTAGTTGGAGCGTTGTCTGTTTAGCCGTAGGCATCAGCACAGCACCCCAAATATCCCGAGATATATCCCGGTGTATAGCTATAACTATAGGGCTGGAGGCAAAATTACAGAGCAAACATTACCCACGCCACAAAGACTAGCGTCATCCGGTTGGGTCATATAATATAGAGATGAGAGGAACGTCCGGTGATGATCTCCTATTCCTGATACAACACAAAATCGTATCCTGTTTGTGAAATTTCATTATCACCGTACTTGGCTCTCTATGATAAATAATGATTGTTATTGCGCTGTGTGAATATGTGGTATACTCTACTACGCGGTTTTCGAATTGCCTGATGCGGTCGGTTGTCATTTGAATGATATCTCTCTAGGTGTCTTTTTTATTTTAATAATTTCACCATTATATTTCTTTTTTTTATTTATAATTTTGTTTAAGAAGTAGTTAATTAAACTATCGATTTATTTATTTATTTAGGAGTTATTTTATCGCGGAAAAAGTAAAAGAAGGAACAAATGAAGGAGATGTAAAGAAAGGTAAAAGAGATTGGGGAAGGGTATAAAAGAATGTATAGAGAAATAGATTCGAGACGGGGGTTCCGATACTACTCGTGGCGTTTTAATCACAGCGTCTGTGTCCGTCTACCTTTAAAGAGGGTAGAGAAAGAGAATGAGAGAAAATTCAGAGGGTGAGAGGGTGATATCTAGAATAGCGTCCGTCAGGCAGGCGCCAACTCGAGAGCTGGAGCCGACGCTGATGGACGTACTCGGCATCATTTTCAACGGGTCCATTATTTTGCATTTCTTATAATATATAGACTTAAAACAAGATTCTTTCTAGCATACTTAAACTTGAATTCATACTGGCGAGAGTCACCGTCATTTAATGCTTAACAAATTAACAAATTTTTTTCTTTTCTTTTCTTTTCTTTTTAATTAATAAATAAAAAATTGCGATAAATTATATTTAAGACTTATCATCAAGATATAAAATCGATCGAGTTAAAAGTTTGTTTGTTATTAAACTTTTATTTACACTTGGCAAAGGAATAAAATAAAAATCGATGGGTGAAACGACGGCAACACGAAGGAGCGCCACCAAGAAAATTAGTCTCCGAAGGATAAAATTAGCCAGAGCAATTGATCGTTCCCGGACAGAAAGTGACCTGGTGAGAATACCAAATGGCTTTACTTTTGTGTTGTTAGGTTGTGTGAGGTGAAAACCATTGAAAAATGTTGCTTTTTTTTTTTTTTTTTTTTTTTTTTTTTTTTTTTTTTGAAATTATTATGATGACTATGCTCTTACTCTTCCTTTCTCTCTTGCATTTACTCGAGTTTTATTTATTTATTTTTTATATATTTTTATTTTGTACAGTGTGACAGTAGAAAATGTCGACACGAAAGTTGACATTCTGTACTTGGCATAGAACCCATTATTTCTGCTTTTTGCTTGTGATGAATAGTTCGCTAACGTTTTAGTGTTGTACTCAATGAAAATTCATTTCCAAACTGCCAGTATATATTTTGTTTAAATTTAAAAAAAAAAAAAAAAAAAAAAAAAAAAAAAAAAAACTTTTATTGTATATTTGATGGATTTAGATATTTAAACTTGAGTGTTTTGTTACAAGTTATTTTAATTTTAATTAATTAACAAAACAATGATAGAGATAAAATAAATTGATGATGTGAGAAGTAGTTTTACCAGAGCAGTAGCGGGTTCTAACGTGCCGTTAGACAGAACGAGAATTGACGGTGATGACACCCAACTGTCTACCCAGTATTACATACTTTTGCATCTTTATTTAGTCCTGTAATTTCTTTTTTATTTTTGTTACGGCTTCCAGAGTTTCGCCCAAATTAGTATAAATGTCTCTAGTTTGTCCCTTTATGGTGGTAACAAAAAACAATAAGATGTAACTATATATACTGTTTTAGTTGGATTTAATAGTATGAAAAAAAAAAAAAAAAAATTAAACTTGATTTAAAAGAATATAATTTTATAAATATGACAATTAAATATTTAAGAAACATTAATAGTAATGATAGTACAGCAGATTCATTGGATCGTGAAACAAACGGTCGAATGTTAACGGTTGGACAATTTCATTACTTGGGATATATCGGGTGTGGCGTGGTACAGCGAAATGACACTCTATTAAACGGTGTTCCGGTGGCGTCGGTCATCGTCGGGCGTCGGGTGTCGGACAACCAACCAACCAACCAACCCAGAACTCAGGGTGTAGTGTACTACTCTACTACACCCTGGTATTCACTTGGTATGGTGTCACTGGGAATCTATTTGCATAGTAATGGCTACGTCGCTTCCATTTATAAATACCGGCACGCTTCGACGCTTTGGGTGATGGTCCGCATTTAGTCCTACTTTTCGTAATCATCATCATCATCATCCACCAAACTCAACCCAGCTAAACCTTATTCATGTATAATTTGTTTATACTCCTCCAGGCAATTCATGTTTTCCTTTTCTCGTTAAATCTCAACTGTAAAATCCTTGTTGCCTTCTGGTTCCTGGTTCCTGCCTGGATTATACTCAACTCAACTCTACCAGTCAGCTTTATTATTATTATTATTATTATTATTATAGTATATGCTGATGCTGTCAGTGGATTCCAATTAAAATAGTGAGTTTCTCTGTTATACTAAGTTGAAGCAATAAATGCCCCTGGCATAGGTTACTAGTAGAGTACCTAGTACTTGTTAGTGAATCAAACATTATATATATACATTAAGTCACAAAGACGTTATTAGTATTGATAGGCTATGATAACAATGATAATAATAATAATAATAATAATAATAATAATAATAATGAGTATAGTTGGATACTGAGACAGAGAGAAACTATAATCCTACTGTGGTACAGAAAGCGTTCATATGGAATTAACAATAATACAGTTCAGTGATGAGTAATCCTTGGAGTAAGCCTTGCTTCGAATTACTAGCTATCACCCAGATTTGTCGGTCTTTATTGGTACCTATCTACCTGCTATAATGGATCAAGTCTCTGATTAACACTGCTAATTAAATTTTCCCTTTTCATATCATTTTATACTAATTATCATTATTTTTATTAATGTTAATGTAATAAAGTTAATCGAATCAAGTGTTTGAAGATTGGAATCTCAAAGATAGTAAAGACCCGAAAAAGTATCATGGTTCACTGATATTCAATGCCAGAACAATGAAAAAGGATGAAAAAGGATGAAAAAAAAGAAAAAATAAAAGTTACTACATGTGAAAAGAAACAAAGGGACTGGAGGAACTGAAAATAGAGGAAAAATCTCTGGGCGGTGCAAACTCAACCATAATGGAGGTTAATTACGAATAGTTTTCCACGGGATCAAAATAAACAACTAATACAACTTTTTTTTATAAATATACACATGAAAAAAAAAAAAAAAGATATATTAGCTGAAAAACAATATTGTTGTTTATGGAACATTTAGAGAAATAGAAATAATATTATACGATTGGTTATAAACGATTTAAAATAATAAAAATTTTAAATAAAAGTTGATAGTGCGTATGTGTGTTGAAGTGGAAACTGGTATCCCTACAAGTTAATTTGTAACTTGAACATTTCGCCGACAGGATGAAGTAGAGTAGGTGATGCGGAGGATGAGAGAAACCGAGGTATAACGTTAGGTAGTTGGCAGTAGGATGGCTTTTGATAGTAGGATGAGAGGCTACCAGATTGTATATATATATATATATATATATATATATATATATATATGTGTAGATGTAAAGCTGAAAGAGAAAGATGAATAGAGTGTAAAGAGGATAGTAGAGGAGGAACAGGAGCAGCTAGATAGAGTTGTTGGTGATAATGATACCAATGCTAGTAGTAGTGGTAGTAGTAGTGGTGGTGGTGGTGGTGGTGGTGATCTGCTGATGGTGGGTTGGGTTGGGCAGGGTTTGCTCGGGGGAGCACACCTCGAGGTTGTTTGTTGCGCTAATGTCTAATTAGTGGAGTGGTATTGCGTCGCCGCCGCGTCGAAAGCTGTCGTTGGAATCTCACTATGAAAATTCTGAGCCATAAAAGAAGAGCTAGTATTAAAATTTTATTATTATTATTATTATTTAAAATGTTTTCCACAGCAAATGGGGATTATTTTTTCGACATTATTGAATAATGAAAAAATAATGGCTGACTAAAGAGTTGCCAGTACTACTGATGAAAATATATTAAAAGCACTTGTTACTGGACAACGTTAAATTAAAGGCCAATAGATGATGTTCAAAGGTGGAACAGTGTATTGAAGAGAACAAAGCGAGGTTGCTTCTATAGGTGTTATAGGTGTCTTTTGTTGGATTTAGTTGATATCGATTTATAGGTGAATGCTGGTGTCAAAAGGACGTACGTGAATAATCTACCGGTATAAAGGTTGACGGTCACCCAGATTTCAAATGCTCCAGAGTAATGCAACTACCCTGTTGTGTTGGCCCTTTGGCCTCCCGTCGATTCAACATCTCTTGCCCATTTTCTCGCTCATGTTCCATATACCACCCGGAAATTATTTTCTTTTCATTACTTTATTCCTCTCTTTAAGGGAAAATAACAATCCTCTGGCATTATTTCTTGTTGTACTGTGTAAGAATAATCATCATCAGACATACTTGAAATACGTATTTTGCATTTCATAAAAGAAAAAAAAAAAAAAGAAAAAAAAAACAACTTAGAATTCTCCTGTGACTCACCACCAGCAACGGACTAGCTCGTACGTTTTTATGAATTGAGAGATATAAATTCTAAAATATGTAAATATTCCTTTAGTATGACTAGAGCATGATAAGTCTCTTAAGATTGAGAAAAGGTGGGATCAGACCTTTTTATTATTTTCACAACCTTCTTAAATTTATTCATCCAGGCTGTTTGAATTTTTTTGACAAGTTTCTGCGAATCAGATTTCCAATTATTCCTCAATGAAGCCTTTTATCTGCTCTGTTAATATTAATTACTGAAATGGCAACTAAACTGGCTATCAATATCTGATATCAATCCAATGTTGGAAATTCAGTATTTGTATCTGGAAGATTGTTTTAATGTATCAAAAAGAAAAAAGAACATCCACAGATGTTTGATCTCACGATTTATTTATAAAACTAAAATTCTGGTGTATTTATCTTGTACTCACCTTTGCCTGGGATGGATTCTATAGTGATATTTCATTTTACGGTGGTCCGAGTAAAGAAATAGGGCCGCGTTCCCAAGGGTAAGAATGGTCACATAACCTTATTTACCGGTACAAGAAAAACCAGTCGTGAAAAACAATCATCTAGGTATTATTTACTGTCGTCAAGGTTCACCTCTATGATTTTCTTCTATTTCATCCTCCAGCTCCTGCATATTAATTGTTGTATTTTTGATTGGAGGGAAAAGATTTAGGAATGAGTAAAAAAATGAAATAAGAGATTAGATCTTGGGAGCTGATAGTAACCTTTTTTTCCTTTGATAACTGATGTTCAATCGGATTGGCAGTGAAGCCTCTTGAAGAAGCCGCCGATATTTTCACAGCACTCGAGTAGTCTGTTCATAGATGTGACATTCACCATAGAGAGTTGATTTCGCTTTCCTCATTCTTCATCGTCGTACCACTTATCGCTTCTTCAGACTTTATTTTATATATTTTTTTATTTCTCCAGCGTCTTTTGAATTTTTGTATCTCTGCTTTCAAACTAGATTTTTATTTCTCCAGTGATCGGGTATAAGAGATTTTATCAATATAATCATTTTTAATAATAATTTTTCAAGCGACACACTGATTTTTCTTCAAATATCATTGTTTTGTGTTTATCAACCAGGAGGATCCTGAATAAAGAGAGTTGTCAAAGAAAGGAGTCTAGGAATAGGAGACTATTGAGAAATAAGAGAAAGAAGAGAAAGAAGAGAAACAGGAGATGGTTTCTCGTGTGAAAGCCGAATTGTTTGTACTTTGTTCTGTCTTGTGTCTTGTGTCTTGTGTCTTGTGTCTTGTATTTCTCAGACTATGTGTCTTTCTTCTTTCTTCATCTGGTTGCTGGCCACTCAATACCCCGCGGGGTTTCCTGCCTCCTCTTTCTCCTTTACGGTATATATAAAGCATATCCCCCGTCGACCTGAGCTCAGATTGCTTTTATACCGTGGATTGATTGACAATATAGTTACATTATAGCACATAAAATAACTAAATTTAATTGTATCTACACAACCTCTTATTATTTATTATTCAATTAACTAAACTTTTAAAATACTTTTTTTTTATTTATTTAAAATAAAAATACTTGACACTATTATAGTGTTATACTGCAAGAGGAGAAGAAGAAGAGATAGATGCATAATATGACGTCTGGTATATCCACAACTGAAACTCTCTTGTACGGCTTTAGAGATGATGTTATGGGAATACGTAACGGTGGATTTCAGAGTAGTACACCCTCTACTATCCTCTCACCAGCTTTATCATCTCATTCCATCTATAATATTTTTCTTTTTACTTAAATATAAATACATACATACTAAATTTCACAGATATCTTTTTCTTACGCAATTCTTATGTTTTTTTGTTATAAGAAGATGGACTTGTTTGACAATAAATAGAGAAAGATAAAAACAAGATTGTTGAAGGGTGAAAATACTTTGAAAGGCATTGAGCTTTAGGAATCTGAATAATCTCAACAATGAGAGTGTCATTGAAAGGAACATCAGTTGGATCCTCTGTCAAACTCTAATAAATTTTAAAAGTAACCTTTTAACACTGGGATATATCAATTTTTTAAATTAAATAAAAAAGTAACACCAGATTTAGTGTCTAATTAAAACAACCGTTTCCTTTTTAATTTTATTCCAACACGTATTTTCTTTCTTGTTATTACTCCTTTTTTTTTTTTTTTTTTTTTTCTCTCTCTCTCTCCACTTAAGGAGCTGTATAAGAGAATATAAACCGAGAATAAACCTTTTGTGGTTTTAAACTTCTTAGATGTATTCAACTCTAATAAGAAGAGATTGGATTAGCATTCAAATGATGATACCTTTAATTAAACTTTTATTTCTTTTTAAAACATTCGGTAAGAGGGTGTAAATTATTATTTAAATAAAAAGTAAAACCGATTAACTATTTTAATAACTTTTAAGTTAATTGAAATAATAATAAAATATATTATTAATGATCGGATATTGAAATTTTCTGTTACAGATTCTTCTATCTTTATCATTTTTCATTCTACGCTTATCATTATCGATTTAATGGACAGTACAGCAGTCTTGCACTCGTCACATCGTGGCTCTTCATCCAGGTGAGTGGATTTATCTTCTCTTCTCTCGTCTCTCTTCACAGATTACATTTTCGCAGTCAGCTGCAAGTGACGTTTCCTTATAATACAACCTTATACTGTCTTGTCTACCTTCTTCTTGAAAGATCAAAGCTTTGTATCTACTCATCCGTGTTGAATATCCCGAAACATTGTATTGTTTATAATTTATTCACTGGATTACTCTGCTGTACACTCAAATATCTTTAAACATTAATAATTAATAATTGTTATTCCGTCAATTTCAATTATTTCAATCGATTATGGCTGTCATAAAGCCCAACAACGCTTTTAGTTATTTATTTTCTTCACAACAATCGGCATAAAGTTTACCAGTCTGACAGTTTTCTTGTATTTTGTACTAGTATTTGTTTACTGGGGCGAAAATTTGCAACCTCATTCCTGTCAGTCACAGTAAAGACCCACCGTAGCGACAACAATGTTATATTATTATTATTATTATTATTATTATTTACATTTATATATCAATATTGATGAAATTATTTCATTCATTCATTCATTTATTTAATTAACAAAGACAGTAATAATTAGTTGATTAGATTGATAGTTGGTGTGGTTTTACAATGAAACGAGCTAAAATTTATACCGCGATAAATTAACCAGGGTATGGCCGGAGGTCATTTTGATTTTCAGCTATGGCTCGGCCATAACGGTCTTTGACGATTAACCCCCGGGGCTTAATTATCAATAACATTTAATTTTACAAAATCCATCTCTTCTGTTAAGCTAATTAACAATATAATCTTCAAAGGAATTATTACTATTTTCATTTTTTCTGTTACATGTCAATTTAAAAATAAATTTTATATGTCACGGTGTTTTTTATTCAAACAATATATTAAATATCAAAAGTCTTTGTTAGTTTCAGTTCTTTCAATAAATTGACAAGTGTCGTGTGCACATTCACTGGTTTTAAATAACTCAATCACAAATTATTATACAAAAAAAAAAAAAAATGAAAAACCAAGTAAGGGTCTGTCAAGTTACAATTTTTTTTTTTTCTTGGAATAAATATAACACTGCGTAGGTCACTGAAATTTATAGAAACGATTTGTCACGTGTCATCGGCATCACATTTTCTTTTTTTTTTTATTAAATAACAACTTGCTTCTTTTTCTTCCTGTAATTGCTGATCGATAGAAAGAATAATATTTTTAGACAAAAATAATAAAGAGATGTCGATTGTGTAATACATGTCGAACCTTTAGAAGCTACTACACCTAATAATCTAACCACTAGAAATAAAAAAAAAAAAAAAAAAAAAAAAAAAAATAGTAGAATGAGATAGCGATTGGGACTCCCGGTAGTGGCTCACTTGTATATCATCTCGTCTCTGGTGAATTTATATGGAAATTTGGGAAATTCGTTCTATATTACCAGTACCGAGAGTTTGTTTTCTCTTTTACTCCCGTGGGTAGTAACTCTAACTAGTGTTTGCTACCGGAGTATCGAGATTTAAAAAACTTTTTTAGTGGACTGATTTGTCAGTCATGATATTCAAATAATTTTCAATACTAGATTTAATATAACTTTGTTTTAAACAAATTGGAAAAAAATCTAATTTTATTTTATCCTACCCAGCACTCTATGCTGTATTTTTTCCATCACTACGAGCTCCCGGTGATACTACAGCAGGCGCAATTGCAGCAGATTCTCTTGCGAAATCACGCACCAACTGGCGGTGCTGGTACTGGTCAATCTCCTGCACCAAGTACAGCAGCTACAACTCCCGGTCCGTCTCCGGCTACAACTCCTTCATCGGACAGTCCGAGTCCTTTGACGCTGACCACAGATCAAACCCAGCAAAATTACATTAATGAACTTTCTCAGTTAGATTCTGATCCAAATGATTCCCACCAACAACTTGTAACTAATAATTCCGGTTCTGAAGTTGCGGAAGCATCATCAAGGCAATTTATTAACTTGCCAACTATTAAAGGTTTGTATAATAATAATAATAATAATAATAATTATTAATTTTTTTTTAATAATTCAATAGATCAACGGAGCAATTATCTATTGACATTTATATTTACGTGATTATGTAAATCAATGCTATATTAATTTATGAAAGGATTTTGTGGACTAATATTACTGTGTAATTTATAGAACCGTGAATTACAGTTTCGTGATTCAGTCTATTGAATATAATAATTTAATTATTAAATATACCTGAAATTATAAACTCCTACATGTTCGTTATAACAAACATTATTTTAATTGTTCTCAACTCTATTGTTTACACAAAAATATATTGAACATTTATTGTATAACAGAAGATGATGAAAATAAAAGAAAAAAAAAAATATATATATATATATATATATAAAAATTGGGCGTATCGAATATATGCATATATATTTTAAATTTCAATAGACTTTGATTTAGTCTCGATAGAATATTGTCTGGTATCAGAGAATGAAACTCAATAAAAGTGTATGCAATTTCAAATTTTCATTCATTATTATAAAATGCTCTATTGAATTTTTATTTTATATATTCAGCAACTGAAAATGAAAGGACGTTGTTGGGTGGAGCGACGACATCTACTGATACACAATCAATAGTATTGAAAAAATTAGAACAAGAACAAGAAAAACAAGACGCTGACGATGATAATGACAACAAACAAGGGTCTACATGCGAAGAATTTGAAGTTATTGAACCAACAGAACCACAATCCTCTTTTAGGGAGCCTTCTCCTCAAAACTGATATTACCCATTAATTGATAGATAGTTTTTATTTTCTTAACTGTTAAGTTTAATATAATTAAATTAACATTTTTTTAAAATTAATATAATTTAGCTTGTATCATTCAAAAATTGTTAATTGAAACTTAATTTATTTTTATTTTATTTTAATAATTGATGTTATTAAAAATTTTTTATTTTAAAAAGCAAAATACTTAAATAATTATTGTAATTTTGAGGTTGTCTCAATATGCTCGCTTTGTATATGATTAATAAAAATAAATAAATAAATAATTTGTTAATTGACGAGTTGTTAAATTATAAAATCCAAGTAATAATTTAATTCTGTTAAAGTTTAAACAGAGAATGAGGTTCTAATGTTAGGAATCAAACAGGTGGTGTGAGAGTGACTTAGAAGGAAAATCCCAGAGGTCCGATTATTCAGAACCAGAGAGAGAAGTATATATATATATATATATATATATATATATATATATATATATATATATTCTACCGGAGCGAACAAAGTGACAAGTGACTCAATACTGGAACAAATGTAACGATTTATTTTCATTACCGAATAATTACAAGTAAATCGTGAGAATTCAATGGCGACTGTCTTCAGAGGTATGTCCTTTATCACCGCCCTCCATCTCTATCTCTCTATGTCTATACATTTTACTCAATCTATTCCCGTTTTGTTCCCAATAATGTCTCTATTAAATTTAATTAATCGTACTATTAACTTTTAAATGTTTTCTCAAATAATTTTTTAATTATTTTAAAACTTTTTTCGGACTAAAGATAAACTCTGATTTTTTAAGTAGCCTACAATTAAAACGGATTTGATGGGCTAGACAATTTAATGACAAAATTTAAATCGATCGATTACTATTATCTCCAGTCCGTCACTGTTATTCTCGACAACGTTTAATAATCATCCGGTTTAATAAAAACGGCTTATCCCGGAAACAATAGACTGTCGTTTACAGAATATCCTTCTTTAGAGAGTCAATTACTATTATTATTAAAAGAAGATTGTTTAGTAATTACAAAAAAAAAAAAAAAAAAAAAAAAAAAAAAGGGTAATTTAAACTCTGAAAATTTTGATGTTTAAAGTTTAAAAATTTAAAAAAAATATAAAATATACCCAAGATTGGACTCGAACCCTGTTCAGTCCGCGCTGTTAATAAAAAGTGCTATTACTTAATTAGTTAACTAAATATTTGTTAAAAATGTTTGTGATTAAGGATAACAGTTTAATTATTAAATTTTGGTAAATTGTAGACTGCCCGATAGAGCAGCAGAAGGTTGAAAAGTAACCTGTACCGTCAGTTGACAACATATATATATATATAACAAAAATGTCCCTTGAGAGATGTGACTCTTGATTACCTCGGATCGTTTGAGTTTTTCTTGAGAACCGTCTCGCGTATAACCAATCTAGAGAACCTGAAAGTATGTCCTCAGGGATAATTCTCTCTTCTCTGTTAGTGCCTAGATATCCAACAGTTCCTAACAGTTTACCAGTTTCAGTTGGGTTACGTTATAAATTAACCACGACCAAATAACCAAATCAGGATGACGACGTGAACACTGATTTCAAAAAAATAATTGTTATTCAAATATTCGTTATAATTGAAAATTACTTTTAAAAACAATTTTTTTATGCTAGAATTCATATTTAATATCCAGAATTGAGTCAAAATTTGGAACTATAAATTATGTTATTATATTTTTTTGCAGATTTTCAACTATTCAAAAAAAAAAAAATTAATTTCTTTCGATTAAATGTTTATCTTTATATACCTTTTTTTATTATTATTGATTACAGAAAAGAAGAAATGTAAATTAAGAAATTAAATAACATCAATAATTTATTATTTTTGATAATTACTTGGATTTTTTAATAAATGTGAATAATATTGAGAGGTCATCGACACATTATAATGAATCGATTTTCTGTGATATCGATTCGCAAGCTGTTATCCTAGCGGGTCTAGCTCGCGAGTAACGTGACACGGTGATGACAGGGTGAAGAGAAGACAACAATAGTATTATATAGATATATATATATAGTGTTTCGAAACCGAATATCTGGATCGAATGGCTTGGAAATAATGTTTAGAGAGTACTGTTGCGTTGAGATAGTCAGTTTAAAGATTTTCCGGATAGAATACTCTGGATCCTGGATTTTAGTGTGCATGTGTTACAAGAGAAACGTTGGTTGGTAGCTCAGAGCTCGGGATACAGAAAGCTCAACTGCTTAACGGAGATTTACCATCAAAATTCTCTCTTTTTTTTTTTTTTTTTTTTTTTTTTTTTTTTCTTCTTTTTAACGTTAAATGATAAATATACACTTTAAATTATTAATCGTTTTTGTATAAATTTTTTTGAGATTGTAAAAAAGGGCGAAGAGAAGGAGAAAGTTGGACGTTGATGCGTTATTAATTTGTTCATCTCTCTGTGTATGCCCTGTCTCGGAGCTTTTACATTGTAAATTTATAATGGAGTTTTTGCCCGCGGGACAATAAACTAATTATAGTTAATGGGCATAACAACAAATTTTATAACGATTATAATGATAAAATAAATCTAGTTGTAAGATAATTATAGTGTCAAGCAAAAGATTGTTCGCGTCAGTGGTTATCAGGTATAATGTATAATTTTAGTTTCAGTTAGAGCAAAAAATAGATATTTGTATCAGTATCAGTATCAGTATCAGTATCAGTATCTGTATCTGTATCTGGGTATAAATGCGAGAAAGCAAATAACGGATGAACGGATCGGAGGATAGGCGGCTCCTCGTTAACAGTACGCAAGAGCTTTTCTCTACTTCTCACTTGTAATTTCAGTACTAATATACGCCTCGTTGAACATCCAACGTTAAAATGTATACGTCTTAATCGATGACAACTTGTCCTCATCTCAACTCATTATATTTCGAGCTACTGCTACTCTATTACGTTTCAATGATCACAAACTTATCTTGCTGTTTAATTTTAATTATTTAATTAATTAAAAACAAATTTATTGGCGTAATAAAAATTCATTTTTAGTACACTGAAAAAAAAAAAATTAACTTGAATCAAGAGAAAAATTCTTAAATCGAGAAAATAATTTTCAAGAGTTCCAGTGTAACATATACTTATTCTTGGGATGATTTCCCAAGTTAAGTTCTAAGACGAGCCAAATCTACTGTCGATTAATTTAAAAATTAGAGTTATTAATTAGCTTATTAAATAAACTTTAATTTGTATTTCTTATTATCAGTCTAGATTAAAAAAATTACCTACTTTCTCAGATAGATTTAATGAAATTTTACTTTTGCATTTTTATGCAAACTGTTATAATATCGAATGGCCTTTTTTATTCTTCAAAAGGATTAACAAACATTATTTCGGAAATGAGATGTACGATTTTCGATTAATATGTATTTGAGCACAACCGCGAATATTTTCCCCGACAAATATTAGACTTTGTAGGTAAATCCTCTATGAAAACATTAATTAATCCTGAATGTAGTGTTCAAAGGTCCTTAAATGTAAAATCCCCAAGGCAAATGAAAATATGCTCGATCTTTCTTTTATAAATTTTAACAAACTCACCCGTTTGATCTCAGCAATTTCATTTTTTTATATTTGTTAACAATAACTTTCCCCAGTAAATATACTCTGATACTATTTTTTAATTATCGAATTATTCAATACTTTTAATTCGATAAAACTCGGGGAGTATGTAAAAGAAAAAGCTTTAAATTCATGTACATTCATTTGTTATATAGTCAGTAAAAAAATAAAAAATGTCCAAGCTGCATAGCTTTCATTGTTCAGCATTTAATCCGGCTTTGATTCCAATTGATTTTAACAATGTTATCGTACAATACACATGTGTTCACTCTTCACCATTCATTACGGATAAAAAAAACTCGAGAATAATCAAAAAATTCTTTACTTATTAAAGTTATTATAGTTGAAAAAACGAATAAACAAATCAATCCACGGACTGTTTTTTTAAAACGTACATCAATAGAAAACTCACCAGTTTTTTTTTAAAAAAAAAAAAAAAAAAAAAAAAACAATAGTTTAATTTTTAAAATTTTAACAATAATTAAAATATTTAAAATGAAAAGCTTAGTAACCTCTATCGATATTAATTATTATTTAAATAAAGTTGACAAGGGTGACGAACAAGTGATGTATTTAGTTATTCATGACACGTGAAACTCATAAAAGACAAGAGGAATCCACAATGAACCAATAAGCGAATAATCCAACCAGGAACAGGAAAAAACTGTGAAGACGTGAAGCATCACCATCTAAAATCAACCTTCCTTATTTCTTCTTTCTTCTCTCACTTTTTTTTACCCTTATTTATTCAATTACCAGTTCTTACGTGCGTCATATTGTTATTATTAGCTTGCTCGTAATGTCGTTTAATATCCTTCTACTTCTTCTTCTTCTTCACTTGACGGGACCACTAAAATCTAATATTATTATTATTATACATACACACCTAGATAATACAATAATATACATCAAATAATTATATTTCTCTCCAATATCAATATTTTTTTTTATTATTAATATAGTTATAGATTTTTGACGGACATCACTTTATATAATTTTAAATTTATAGAAACGGAAGTTCCTCAACCGGAAGTTCCAATATTGGTAAATACATTTCTATAAAATATACTCCATATTCATTCAATATTTTTTATTCAATTGATAACATCCTGATTTACCTCTATTACATCAAATAAACAAATCTCAATCCAATATTAAAAATACAAGAAATCGGAATAAACTTTTTTTTCACAAAAATTCTTATTTAATTATATATATATATAAAAAAAAAAAAAAAACTGATTTACCTCTATTACATCAAATAAACAAATCTCAATCCAATATTAAAAATACAAGAAATCGGAATAAACTTTTTTTTCACAAAAATTCTTATTTAATTATATATATATAATAAAAAAAAAAAAAAATAAAAAAAAAAAAAAAAACATATTTGTAGAATAAAACAATAGTAAAGTTTAAATTGAAATATACATCTGGGCATCTGACAATATTAAATCTTATAAATTTTATATATTTTCATTCGAGTATTTTCCAGCTGGGCATTTTTCCGAGTCAACATTCTAACGTCTCCTTATTTTTATAATTCATCGCTCGCTTTAAATTTAATACCAACTTTTAAATTGTTTTCTCTAAATTTTTTATTATATTTTTGTATAATTAATTTTAAATTACAGATCTCGATTATTCGGTACGCTCTTTAAATTAAATAAAGTACTTTTTTTTTTTTTTTTTAACAAACAGTTGCTGTAACTTTTATTACTTTTGCTGCAATCGATGGGTTTGAATGATTTGTCGAAGCAAATTTTAACCTGATACAAATAGTACTCCTTCCGCTGCCTCTGCAATTTAAAAATCTGTAAAAAGAATTTTAAAATTAAACAATCAAAGACTTACATAAAAAATGCAGTCAATTTGACAATTTTTTCCGGTGAAACTTTCAATACTTTTGATAAGATCTTCTGCAAAATATTTTCCCCCCGCGTGAAATCCCGCTTTGGTCAGTATTTTAGTGACATCAAAGCTGTTGAAGATTTCCAAAGTCTTTTTAAAGTACTTTAACTCGTTGTTCAATTTGGGATGAGAAACTGCGCACAAGTCCCGTGTTTGGCCCACTGATATTTCAAAAAACTATGACGGTCAGTGTTGTTTTTAATATCGATTCACTTGGTGTCCAATTCCTGTTGAATTTCTTCAAGCAAATCCAGATTGAGCTTCCCTTTGTCTGAACAATAATTTGGTCTGGTTGTTTGAGTAATTGCCGGCCAAAATCCGTGAATGGTCCAAATTTTGCTCTCCGGTAGCCTGCATGTATTTTTGAAAGACACAAGTTTCCAACTGTAGCAGAGAGTATGCGGCCACATTTGAGCCAGAATTAAATAATTAAATTCTGAATTTTCAAGCAAAGGAACTCTAGAAAAATTTTTATTTTCAATTTGTTCAGAAAAGTAAATTTGTGCAAAAATAAATAGAGAAGAAATAATTAAATTGAAAAAAAATCATTTTAATAATTAAAATAAACTAAGTGTTATTTAATTGATAATAATCAGAGCTGTTATTTATAGTGAGAAGATAATAAAAAATCAATCAACAGATAAGATTATCAATTAATTATCTTTATTCGAGGAAAAAATGTAGATGGAATGAAAGATTGGGGTAATTTGTTAGTTGAAGAAGTAAGAGGATAAATGGGGTATCGATAAATCATGTAAAATGGTGAAATTATTAAGTTAAAGGTTAAATTGAAGATATCCGCTTGGTTGTCACGATAACCAATTACAAGACATTTGTATAAAAAAGATAATTGACAGGAAATGAAAAAGTCGGGTGATCTTGCTTTTACAACTTTTATTAGATCCTTTATCTGGAGTTTGAGTTAAAGTCTTTTTTCATTTTAATTCAACGTTTATTAATGCATTTCTTTTCATCACTCCGAGCTGTCTTGTTCTACCAGTTGTTTGACATTGATGAATTAAATTTAAATTATAACATTACTCACCATTACATTTTTCATAATTATTCAACAAACCAATTACAAATATATTAAATATATTTTTTAATAAATCAAAACTAACGGAAAAAATAATATCTAATATAATAGATTGTTTATTATATCTCAGAGTATGGAATTAATCTTTATTTAACGGATGATAGCTTCCAAGGAGTTTATCAGGGTGCACCAGATGACACCTAAGTTTATTTATAACACTCGACCCTTTCTTTTTTCAGTATATATGAGGTAGCTCAAAGATGTTTTACCTCACTAGAAATATGATAAAACAAATTATTTACAGTAAGTATACAATTTAAGATAATCCACCAAATAGAAAATAAAATTTGAATAGATTTAATATAAATTAAATTCTCGAGTCTTTCTTTACAACACACAACATTCACTTTGTGTCATTCTATTTCTTCTTGTTTTATTTTTTTAAACTTGTATCTCTCTTGTATCAGCTGAAAATGGTTGAATTAAATTTATTCAGGCAGTGCCAATAAGTCAAAAAGTCACACCCTAAAGCCTGGAGGAATCCACTTGCTCAAGAGTTTGCCGCAGGGTCTTCTTCTTCTTCTTCTTCTTCTTCTTCTTGTTCTCTGCCTTCCTATAGACACCGCGATGTCTATTATTGTTTCACTTTTTCACTAGTATTAACCTAAATTAAAACCAATTTCATAAATTATTATCCGTGTCTTGACAAAGAAGATGATAAAAGAAAGTGAATTTAGTCTAAAAAAGAATTGTTAAACAGATGACAGAATGTAATGGAATTCCTTTGCCGAGATTTTTAAGCTAAAATATTGAATTTACACATGCATTGTACATATGACAGGTGTATCATTGAAGAATAATGTAAAAGCCCGAATAAAAAAAGAAGAAATAAAAAATAAAAATGTATATTTGCCGGTATAAAAGCTCCTGGATGCCATTACCGAACGTACATTTCTTCTTTCAACACTCTTCTTACTTTTCCAGTTGCTTTCTTTTATTTGTCGGATTATCCTTATCCCTTTCTTGAAGGTGAATCCACCTTTTTTTATATTTTTTTTGTCCTCGTCTTAGGTCTTAGGTCTTACATTTCTTGATTTGAACTTTAGCCCTCCCACCCTACCATCTCCCACCTATAAGATTTCATAGAAACGCCAAGTGACTGCTAAATTTATATTTCACTTTCATCACCTCATTCATTTTACTTATCTCTGACGTAATAAATAAATAAAATAAAAGAGATTGTTACACCGCTAAAATCTTCGATATTTATTGTTTAATCAATACTCTGATAAGAGTTTTAACAAACTCGCCGTAAATTCTTTACAAATTAACAAACTTTTAAACTTTTTGTTTCTTTATTAAATTCTTTCGAGCATTCCAACATAAAATTGGTCAGTTTATTGTCTTTTAAATTTTTTCTGATAGATGGCGCTACCAGCCAATTATAAACTGATCGAGAGTTTGTCGAAGAAAAATAAAGAAGATTGTTTTGTATTTACAAGACCGGGTTTATTGTGTTTTTGTTTACTGTTGATCCAACAAAATATATTTTTATTATTTATCCGGTGAAAAAATACAGTGCAAGTTAATATAAAACGAGAAAAAAAAAAAAAAAAAAAAAAAAAAAAAAAAACTATAAAGTCTGTTTCTAATTTGGTAGGTTAGGAGCTGAGGAGTTGAAGAGGACTTCCGGCGGATAAGCCAGTCCCAACTTGTTGAAGTTTAAGGGAAATCGGGGATTTTGCCTAAGGATTTGTCAATCGCAGCAAACATCCTGTTCTGCTATATAGTTGCTAAATGTCTTTCATCCAAAAATAATTGCACTCTATTTAAAAAAAAAAAATATTCTCCATCAGGTACAATCATTAATTATCATTTATCACTTCAATAAATAATACATAAATTAAATTCAATTATTTTAGCTTTGTAGTCCAGCTGTCTGTAAATAATTGTCCAGACGCTCGGATAAATTAACACGAAAACATATTTTTATTTAACAACTTTTCTTAAATTTTATCACATTTGCTCATATAAAAGTCTGCTTTTATATTTTTCAATACAGAGGTAATAAAAAAAGTTTGATTTATTGTTCAATAAAATTTAAATATCTCTTTTTTTGTAAATTAGTTTAGGCAATAAAAAAAAGGCAGAGGGTGTAGTCGACGCTCTCTGTATTTGACTCGCCCGTACAGGACCATCCTCTGTATTTGACTCGTCCTTTTGTCCCCACCACACCAACTCTCAAGTTTCATCCGCGCAAGCTTGCGCGGTCTCATGCGCAGTGTTCTTAAAATATACGTCAACAATCGTCCGTACCTAACCTCACTTTTTGTGTGTAAAATAAATGTCATTAATTATTTGTGATACTAAAATATAAAATTTAAAATGTCTAGTGATTCAGAAAATTTAAAGGTAAGTCAAAGTATTAAAAATTTAGTAATAGCTATGAATAAATTCATTTGATTAACAACACTAATTTTTATGACATTGAAGTTGACAAACATTAAAATTTTTTTTAGAATTTTATGGCAATTAAATTATAAAAATAATTTGATTAAAAAATTCCAAATGTAAAAATTAATAAAAATTACAAGTGAAAATTTTTAGAAGCATTTTTTAATTATAATTGATTTGCTATAAAAATTTTTAAAATTGACAGCTGACTGCTAACTTTAGTATCATTAATTTTTACTGTCCTTCAATGTTGGATTCATTTTAGATTTTTAATTAATCTGAAGATTGAAAATACATAAAAAAAATTAAATATATTATTTTTATTACTTAATATTTAATTTAAACATTTTTTATTTACAGAAAAAAAGAAATATTTTGTCCATAGAGCAGCGTTTAAATATTATAGAGAGGTTGAAGGCTGGAGAACGTCCTCAATCATTAGCTGAGGAGTATAAAATTTCCAAACAAGCAATATCGTGGATTAAAAAAAATGAGAATAATATTACTCAAATAAAGGAAGTTATAAGAAGCAAGAAGAGAGTATATTGGATAAAAAATTGATGAAATGGTTTAAGTCAACAAAGAACCATGGGTCGACCAGTGTCAGGTACTATTCTTAAAAAGCAAGCTTTATTATATAATAAACGTTTGAATGGTAGCGAGAATTTCACAGCAAGTGACGGGTGGCTTGCCAGGTTTAAGAAGAGATACGGATTAAAAAACAAACATATTCATGGCGAAAAATTATCGGCAGATTTAGAAGGTAGTGAAAATTTTAAAGAAAAGTTCAACAATTTTAAGACAATAACAGGTATAAGTCTTGACTGTATTTATAATTGTGATGAAATTGGACTTTATTGGAAAATGATGCCAAACAGTACATTAGTTCAAAGGACAGAAAAGAAAGCTGAAGGATTTAAGAAACCAAAGAATCGACTGACTGTGATGGCATGTACAAATGGTTATTAGTGTGATATTTGTGGTAGAAAAAAAAAAAGAAACAGAAAAAAAGTTGTTAGTCTTTGGAGACTGTCGTATAAAATGACAATAATAAGAGAGTGGTATCCGGGTTGTTGGGATCTTTCATGGGCATCAATAACATTCGTTACCGGGATTACCACGAGATTTCCTGACAAAACTAACCACCAAGGTATATACAATTATTGTTGTTGTTGTTGTTGTTGTTGTTGTTGTTGTTGTTGTTGGTGCTGCTGCTGCTGCTGCTGCTGCTGTAAGGGGGTCAACAAGGGTCAGCGTACACTGAAAAAAGTAAGGTAACATATAAAATATAACATACCGCGAATGTACGGTCCACTTTACGTAACTTATATCGCCTTTGTTAGAGCTCTTATATCCTCCAATAGAATAACCAGGCTCTTACCTTTCTTTGTTACTTTTTTTTTTCTTGATTGTTCACTTGGCTTTTTTTTTTCTTACGTTTCATTATTATTATTATTATTATTATTATTATTTTTTTGTAAAACTTTGTGATTTGTCGGATTTCATCTAAATAACGATCCAACTTTTATTATTTAACTTTGTTGCTCAATATTTTTCGGAAAGAATTCCTCAAGATATTTTTTTATTTGACCATTAATAATTTGATGATGTAAGAAAAGTTAAAAAGCCAAATGCAAGAAAGCATTTTTATGCGCGATAAAAGAGTCGGAAGAAAGAAAACTAAACAAGAAAAATAAGTTAAGTATAAGAAAAAAAATATTAAGTGCCTATGGCATTGAGGAGTGTAACCCCTACCTTTTTTTTTACAACGACAATGTCTTTATACCAGCTTCTATTTTTTTACTTTTTTATTTTTTAAAAGTCCCTATCGCCACTTTACTCAGACTACTCTTGATAGTCTATCTCTCTTACTTTTATATTTCTTGGGTTTACGAATTAAATTAGCCGATATTAACTACCCTTGGTGTCTCCAGTTTCTAGTCTTGAGTCTCAAGTCGGGTCCCAATGT